TTCATTTCAGTTCAGTTCAGTTCAGTTCAGTTCAGTTCAGTTCAGCTCAGTTCAATTCAGTTCAGTTCAGTTCAGTTCAGTTCAGTTCAATCAATGAGAACAGACCCTAAAGCTTTTACCTAACAAGTATGAAAACAAAATAAAAGTTAATATGAAATACTCCGTATCAAAAGAAACTAAAGGTAGTGTTTGGTAAACGACTCTTAATGAGTAATTTAATTTGCTCACAAACCACTTATAAGTTATAACCCAACAACATCAAGAGCTCCTTCTCAATTAGTAAAGGAAATATACAAATTTTGTCTTTGAGATTGCAAATGGGGAAAAATTCATGAATTAAAATTAACACTTGACTCACACTTAATTGCTTTGGGTATCACTTTAAGCTAGAGGAGTTGAGCAAATATTTCTATATAGCATAAAAATCATACTCCAGCCGTTGAAACAATTTAATTCGGCACATAAGCATTAAGCAATGCATGCATGAGTTTAACCATTAATAAATATAGTTAAACATTATAAATATTAGGACATTTGTAAAAAACTATCTTATAAAACACTTTTGTTCGAGAAACTATCTAATAGAAAAAAATGCTGTAAGAAAATACCTTATAAAAGGTAAATGTTGTAAGACACTACCATTGGTCGGAAAGTCACCGTTGACTTTCATTTTCTGGCATTGACCACATCACATGCCAATTAAGAAAAAAAAAGGAAGGAAATGGTGAAACATTTTACGGAGCATATGAAACTAATTGGTTTTTGAATACTCCGTATTAACTAAATAGTGTTAATACTATAGTCAAACTTAGCATATAAATAGTGAAAAAAGTTCAAGTATGTCAGTTGTTATGAAATACTCCCTCCGTTTTTAAATACTTGTTCTATTTTTTCATGCGCCGAGTTTTAGGAGAAATTGAAGAAAGTAATAAAATATGTAGGTAGTAGGGTATGCGGAAGAATAAAAATTGTAAAAAAAAAAACAAAAATACTGGAGAGAATTGGAGGAGAGAGAATATGAAATTAATAAAATATAATTTATATTAGGTCTATTAGGTGAGAGAAATAAATCAAATATTGTAAAAGATTTTCAAATAAGAGATTTAAAAACGGCAAAAAAAAAAGTGGAATAAGTATTTAAAAATGTAGGGAATACTCTGCACTGTGTAGCCGTGTAGATAGTGGAATTAAATCATAGAGTAATCATCTTTTATTTACCACTTCATCAACTCCGATCCTCAACCCCATAGTTGCCCACTCGGCCACCCACCTATAAAAAAGATTTTATAAATTCATCCAAGCCTAAAAATAATTGGGGTTAGTGCTCTTAAAGTCTTAGCCATGCACGACTTAACTACTGCCTCCATTTATTTTTTAATTGACGCGTACTCATTTTTGAAAATTTGATTAAAATAAGCTAAATCACATAATTTACCCACTTGCTTTAACATTTTTTCTCTTCTCTCTAAAGTGTGTCGTCAAACTAAACATATCATCTAAATTTGTAACACTTAATAATTCTCCAACCATATTAAACCCATATTATTATTTTCAAAATTTATTACGAAGTACCAAGTACTCCGTATTATTTAAGAGGCCTAATCCGATTTAAAATATACTTCATATTTGAGGTTGAGAGGACATCAGATAATCCAACCAGGTCAAAGTGTTAGGGCTAAGGCCACTAAGCAGCCAGCCCACAATTAGTACGTATCATCAATTTAGTCAATAGAGCAATTTTTCAAAAATGCAAATCAAGTTTTCTAAGGGGTGACAACTGACAATGTAACATCAATAAAAAAAGCATTTGATACTTGTTTAAGATTACTCATACTTGTTTATGTTAATTTATATTTTCCAAACTCTCCCCTAAAATTGTGAGTAATTACAATGATAAAATAATACATTAACCTATTTGTTTAATTAATAATAGCACTAATCGCCGTTACTTTTTAATTCTAAGATTCCTTCAAAAAACAATTCTACAATTAATTATTAAGGAAAAAGTAAGCTGATTAACCCAAAACAAAATAGGGTTAATTAAGCCAAAATTTTATGTTAAAGAGTTTGATCTTTTTTAAAACTAAAAATTCAAAACCAAAATACGGATATCTGAACCAAAATACCGATGATTCCAGTAATCGAATATTCGGATTTAAATTTGCACAAAATAGTGAATAAACTTTTTAGGGAAAAAAAGCATTCAAATTTTGAAAAAGACACATTTTAATCATTTTTTGAGTTGTTTTTATCTCCCCGATTTTATGCATAAGATTCATGGATTATGATTAAACAAATGGAAATCTACCAATTCTAAAAGCGCAACTTAAATAGAAATGAAATTATTAACGAAAATTGTAAAAATACATTACTTTATATAATATATTGGAGAAACAAAATACAAATTGAATAACAAAAATAATTGATACATTTCAATAATTACATTTAGATAAAATTACAATTAGCTTTTTCCCATCCTCTGAACTGTTTTAGCTTTTTCCCATCGTCTATTCTAGTAGAAAATGTTACGCCAAACGCCAAATGGCAGTAACAATTAGATTTTCGTTTCTAATGTCACGCCAAATGGCAGTAACAATTGGATTCGAATCCATCATGTCACGCCAAACGACAGTAGCAATTAGGATCGAACCCATAATAATTGTACACGGTATCGAACGACACCGTGTTCGTATTTAGACAGGGAAACCATGGTCGAGGTAGTCATACGGCTTGATTGCAGTTGCGGAGAGAACTCTCCGATAAGATCTCTGAAAAAACAGAAACTCATACTTTGGATGTGTACTTTCATTCTCTCGAAAACATCTGGTTGTTTTGCTTTTCTCTGAGCTAAGAGCGGCAAGGACAGATCTAAACTATTTTAGGGTTGGTTGATTTGTGGATGAAAAAATGGAAGCACCAACGTCACCTTTAATAGGCATGGAAGCTGCCAGCAGTGCCCCCACTATTACGAAACCCTAAATGTATTTTAAATAGTTGGGCTTTTAATAAATAAATCTGATTAGTTGTAGTCCAGCCCATATAGCAAAATGAAGGCCAACGGTTTTTTTTTTTTTTTTTTTAACCTAAATCTACATTTTATTTTTAATTTTAAAAATTCTCCTACGAAAAAGAAAATCATAATAAACACTCCATTTTTTTAAAAAATAAAAATATTCAATTGTATTTTATGATCATGAGATTCATGACTTCGTATTACTCTAAACAAAACTCATTTTGATTATAGCTTTAAATATTCATTTTTATTACTCTGTAAATTTTTTTATTGTTGATGTAGTTAGGGAAATTTATCAGGAAAAAAAAAACATGTATCATAAAAATTTACTTATAACATACTAACTGTAGTGGTTCAAATATATACTTCGTATATACTAGCTATAATCGTTTTGATATGTAATTTTGAATATCAACTTTTATTATTATTATTATTATTATTATTATTATCATTATTATTATTATTATTGACGGAACTTAACATAAATTATTGGGGAAAAACAAATTTTGGTATCAAATTGTGAAAAAACAAATGTTGAGCTTGTCTGTCAACTTTAGTTTTAAAGATAATTCTAGTAGCTTGTGGTTAATTGCTTGATTGTTTAATTATATTACTTATATATTAATTTTTTTTTAATTAAGTGACGGGTTTTTAACAATTTTTTTTAAAATATGTTAGTCTTGGACATTTGCGGGATGTAGGGTATGAAATGGAGATAGAGACGGAAATAAAGGTTAGAAATTTGTGTGTAAGATAAGGATAAAATAATGATTATGCCTTATCGATATAAATAGAGAATAAGATTAAGATAAATGACAAATTTACATATATAACTGTAGAGATTTTAACTTTATCCGTATTCCTATTCCCCATCTTAAGTTCTTATCTCCATATTAATATATATATATATATATATATATATATATATATATATATATATATATTTATTTATTTATTTATTTATTTTCTCCCTTATCCCTATCCTTACTAGTTACTAGAAATCAATATTATGTTTTTATTTGAGTCAACGCAATTTGTTATACATGTGAAGTAATTTTACTTTATAGTCTTAATACCATGATACTTTTTAAAAAGCCTTTATTTTATGCAAGGTATAAAAGGATCCGATGTACACAACCTTATTCATATATTAAAAAGGTTTTTTTTTTTTTATTTTTTTTTTTTTTTTTTTTTATTTTTTTACCCGTTGATAGGTGTTTATAAAATCAATGTAGTCTTCTTTGTGGTTTATATTTACTCATAGGAGAAAATTTAAAGCTCAGCTTATTGAAGTTTGAGTGGCAGATCATATTGTTAAAAATCGGCCATATTTTTACAAACAAGGTATAACATAACTAATGACTAAACACTGATGTCATATACGTAACATACAGCCCAGAAGGCCAGAATAAAGTAAAAGATTTTGAAGAAATATACCAAGAGACCATAGACAACCTTCAACAACATTATGGAGAATAGATACAGCAGCAAACTCATAGAAAAAACAGATTCTGGGCAACTGGACAACGTGTCGGACATACACCGATGTGACAAACTCGAGGGAAATATGAGACGAGACTGCCATTATTACTAGGCAGGTTGGCCGGTTCTTCATTCTCGAATGCTTCGTATTCTAGCAAAAAAATCTTTTACTCCCTAATGTCACTCAGACTTCAGGGAATTGGGTACTCATGTTAGTTAGACACAATTATGTGTTCCAAGTGTTAGTGGTGTCTTTTTAAGGAAAATTTCCTTGTTTTCAGTCCAAATTAGAGTGGCAATTCCTCCTCATGTCAGAGTGTCAAGGATCTGACACGAGTAATTGGAAGAGAGTCCGAGCAACATAGATCCTTCAGATGCATAGAATAGGGGTGAAAGGAAAGGCAAAAAACCAACTTAAAGAGTGGTGCTGGTAGACTGATGGATGATCAACAGGCTAACAGCAGGTCATTCAGATAAGAAAAATTACACCTCAATGACTATAACATTGTATAGTAAATAGTATTTCAACCCTCTTGTATATATTAGTTCGTTCAATTATACAACTAACTAGTATGCCCTTGACATGTAATACATTAACATATATTTGGGGAAAAAAGTAACCGAAAATCAAAACTTGAGAATTTGAGATTCTTTCATACTCAAGCTTCAGAGACCATAAAGAAACACTTCCAAAGAATGACTACAACTATACACAGAATTTATCAATGAGAGATTGAGAGCATATATTTTGATAATGTGTATTAATGTCAGATTGCAGAAGCACTCTTACTGGTATACTGTGAATCATGTGGAGATATGTTTTTTCTTTCCCCCTGAAATTTACCTCATGCACCTCTGAAGTTGACTGTTACTTCATTTGAAGTGCAAGCTATGCACTCAAGCTTTCAGATGGTTTGTTTATAGTTTTTTCCACTAGTTCTGGAACTCGATCAAGCAAGCGGTTCATTTCATCTGGGAACTCACCCTTTGCACGATTTGTCTTCCCCCCAACCACCACTGTTGTTCCGTCTTGTAAAGCCCATATCTAGAGAATAATTTGCAAGAAAGAAAATGTGAGCATGTATCAACAAAATTGAACTAAAAAAACAAACATGCCTAGAAGAATCAATAGTGTTCTTCAAGGGAGAAAAATTACGCCACTTAATTTCTCTGTCAAGATCAGTAATCCCTGTGCATTGTCTCGCTAATTAATGAAGTTATTACATTTTATATCAATCACCCCCTTAATACTAACAGCAGTAGATCTTTCATGGGGGTGCACAGGAATGCAAACATTGTAAAGTAGCGATAAAAAGGAATTAGTATATCCAAGTAGCAATTGCGTAACAAATCCTTGAAGGGTGATAATCAAGAGCTCAGAAAATCACCTGCGCGTGAGATAAATAGCTGATACATGTTGTGAGCATCAGAGCACCAAATCCAGCATATACAACAGGCACTCCAGGGTCAGTCTGAAAAGACAAGTGGATTAGCCAAGGGGAAGCTAAATGAGGTTATAAAAATTGACAAATCTGGAACATCTCCTAAAACTTACTTTTAGTTCAAGGCCTGTACTTCCTATGGCCTCTAGAATTTCAATTTTTATCCCATCAATGTCAATTGGAAGTTTCGAATTTGGTCGTCGAACACCCACAAATTTTCCATCTTGATCATACAAGACAATAGATTGTAGATCACGAGCAAGCATCGATCTGCAAAAACAAATAATATGAACCTTTTCCACAGATAAATGCAGGAATTTGGCAAGGGCTAGCATATTTATACCAGCAGAAAACAACATATTCCAGAAAAGATTATTTTTTGTAAGTTTGCAAGAAGTGCAAAAAAACACATAAATTGACCTAGTAAGAAATGATTTATAGAAATTTTACATAAATTTACTAAAGTACTCACATTCCCTTGACATTCTGAGAGTTATCATTCCCAACAGGCAGAAAAGTTCCATAAAGTCTTTTGTCACCATTCAACTTCAAAGGAGCCATTGCCAAATTAAAAGGACCTTCATCATCCTTGAGAATCTGCAAAGCAGAGAGGCCCCAATCCGTTTGATAGATTGTAATTCCTCCATACCTCAAAGGGTTATTCACGCTTATTGTTTTTCTCAACACCTCCTTCCCATTGAGGTCAAAAAGAGAGAGATCAGTGTAAAATTGTGATACCTGCATGAAAGCCAGAAATGTAGTATTATATTACCCCCAATAATCCAAATGATCACCAAACAAACATGGTAGAAAGTGTGTCAACATCACTAATGTAAAAGAGTTATCCAGAAAGCCAACGAGGCCTTGAGCATTGACAATCACGGTGAATGTGATAACAACAACTTTTTGTTGAAACAAAAGATTTAAGATGAGATCAAAAGGCTTACCAACCTCTCCGCTCTCATAATACTCCATTGAGAATCTATTAACATGGACCTCTGTATTGAAAGCTTCGGTAGGCTTTGAGAGGACTCCAAATGGACTGAGCACATCACCTACGACAAAGTTTAGTCCTTGAGGAACATCAACAGAACCTCTGAAGCTCCCTGTGGCACTAAGTGTTGCTCCGGCCATTATTAGTATCATAGCCAGGTGAACTCCAATTGGAGCAAACCGGCCAGCTAGACCCTTGAAAGCATACATATACGGTCCTGTTAAGAATACCTACAGAAACCACATTTACAAACCTTATAAGAAGAGGAGATTAACTGATCATAATCTTCCCTTTTTACCCCACTCATGGGATTAAGGCTTTGATTGATTGATTGAATCTTTCCTTGTTTTGATGGAAATTACAGAACATCCTCTTAGTACGACCACAATTACACATCTGACTGCAGATTGCGTAGTATAATTTTGCTCAAAAGTAAAAAATTTGTAGCTCATTTAATAAACATCTGATTCTAGATAAACCTGAAAAACTGCTATACTGTACCTCATATCCAGCCCCCATAAGAACAACACCCAAATCTTGAACTGATGCTCTACGCAGTTTTTCTGAAAATTCCTGCTTGCAAATGGCCTCAGATGACTTTAAGAAATTCCATCTGTCGGAAAACACATACATGTGACTATATTGTACCTAAGCTGCTTTGGAACAGCCAAAAAAACTCATAGTATGAAATTCATATTGGACCTTCGTGCGACCTTAACCAAGGGAATCTGTGTGGTGTAAGTACAGGCCATTAGAGATGCTGCCAACAGTCCTAATGTTCCAAGGAAAATTGGCGATGAGAACATGTGGTCAAACCCAAGTGTTAGAACCCACTTCCAAGTGAAAAATCCAAGTACAGGATGATCTTCTGGATATTTTTGAAAATAATAATCGGGAGCCTCGCTTTGATCAATGAAAGTACCTGCAGTATATATTCAAATACATTATAAAAATCTGAGGACGATCAAAAACAACTTGAAACAACAATAAAAACCAAGCACATCCATTCAACAATAATAAACCAACTCAACAATTAGTGACCAACACAACTCATTTTGCCAAATTGGTAATCAACAAGACCATAAGTAATAATAAGCTTCAATTTCCCATGAAATTTCTTTACATCTTATGTGATCCTTTTCTCAGACAAAGCTCTGGACTTGACTATACTTAATATGAAATCAACATATTTCCCCAATTTCATATAATTGGCTAAAACTTGAAACCCAGAACTGCTGTAGTTATATGACATAATTTACCCTAACTGAACAACATGCATAATCTTGCTAAGACAAAACTATATATCAACCAAGCAAAATTGCTAAATACCAAATCTCAACAACAAATTTAGACAAACAATGGATAAAACATATAGTAGCAACAAATTAGCAAACTAATGTTCAATTCAATAAACAACTAATTTCAAATCAACCCTACAATTCCACATTGAACTAAGCTTTAGAGAAAATTATAGTCCTTGGGATGGCATCTGGGTCAAAAATCAAATCCCGTCTAAATCATTGCACTTGTAACTTGCTACACACTCATAAATAAATAGACACAAAAAGAGAGAGAACATGAGCAATACCAATAGCCATAAGCCCAGCAATAGCAAACATTTCTCCAATAGCAAGTGATAAATTTGACAAAACACCCAAAACCCTTTGAGGGATTCTCTTCAACAACCTATTCACTGAAGAAGTCGGCTTTTTCGGCGGCAGCGGCGGAGGAGGAACTTCCCCACTACCATCACTATTCTCCTTCAAAGAAGGAGCTCCTTCAGAAATTACAATCTTCTGGGAAATGGGTTTATTGCTCTTATCTTGTGGTACATTGATTTTACAACAAACCCTGAAAGTCATAAATTTTCTGTCATTTTGCAAATTGGGGAAATGGGGTTGATTAAAATGGTGGAATTTGAAAGAATTATTGGGTCGATAAAGATGAATGGATTTGGTGAGAATTGAAGATGAAGATTTCATCTTTCTGAGTAGTATGAGAGTGTGTTTTCTCTTTAGTTTGTATAATTTTAACTGAAATTTGTGTTTTTGGATTAAAATAGAAGATGTGTTATAAACCGTTATCTACTTATCCTATCCACATTTTGTTTCCCGCAAAATTCTTTACACGTTTCTCTCTTCATTTTCTTCCAATTTTTCTTTTGTAGTTCAACTTCTAAAGTCTTGAGTAACATTTGCTTTTTATTTAGTTGCAAAATATTTATTTGTTCATTATTTATAAAATTTTATGATAAAATATATATTAAGAAAAAAATTATGTGAAATGTTGATGAATTCATCTTCATATAAATTTTAAAAAAACTTACTTTATATGAAAAGAGAGATTAAATTATTTACACTGGGAAAACAAATTTGTGACTGTAATATGCTAGAAGGTGAGTATGAATCTATGATAGTGTTTTTGATATAAAGATAACAAAGCTAAAATCATTTACAAGTATTTGAGCAGCCAAATTTGCAACAGTGGTATGCTACGAGGTGTGTACGATATTATTTTTAGAAAATTTTACGAAGGATGTGATTGAAATCTCACTGATAGAACCTAATCTAAGATTACAAATCATCATTTCCCTGCCGCGCTGGTGGAGGGGAGAGGGGAGGGTGGGGGGGTCAAAGAAGAAGATAGGATTTCAAAGGCTCTAGAGCATATATTAAACTTAATCAAAGAAAAAATTACTCTAAATGTGTTTTGGTAAGCAACACTGCAACAGGAAATCAACAGAAAGCGGGCTGTAGCAGTGGCTATATGAATGAAACATTATAACACCAAGGAAAAATAGAGGTTACAATGCTGCTACAACTGTACAAATCAAGAGATAACTATGTTTCATTTTCCATGTATTGTTTTAGCAGTATCCTCCAATTCCTCCCTAGACCTTCAACAAAAATCCAACATGATGTGTGTTGTTCATCTATTGAAATCTGGTCCGAAGATCTTAACTTTGCTTTGTTAGTGCTTCAATATCAGCCCCGACTTCAACGATCTTTGAATCCTTGGAAGACTTTGCAGCTTTTGCAATGCTCTCGACATCAAGATCCATTGCTATTCTTTTGACAGAACCATCAAGCATCTGTATCAAGTTGCAAAATTAATAGGTATACATTAATCTTCGTCTTTTTTGTTTTCTATTTAGGAGGAGAGATACATAAGAGTTTATGACAGTCCTCTCAAGACTACAACCTATGTGACTTACTATTAGATTCACAGCAAGAACTCATGTCATATCATCAACACTTGGACACTTTATTTGGGCCAAATATTTTCACAAAATAGCTGACCCAGACACTAAGAAAGTTACAAACATAACCGTATTAGACATGTGCCCAAGTACGAGCAACAAAGCAAACAACAATACTCTTAAGAAATACTCATCACAGCACATAAAAACTGGGATAATTTATTTATTTTTTCAACTGAGAAGTCAATAGAGACAATGTCCAAGAACAAGCCAGAAATATCGCAGTAATGATAGGTGGGATTTGTTAGTATTATTATTTAAACTATGAATAAGCCAATATAACTTCTAAGATAATAGACTCACAAAACACACTAACAAGAATCAGTCTACTAGAGTCTCAAGTTACAGAACAAATCTACTAGTCCAAACACAAAACATAGCACAGTCGATATATAAGTGAACTCTTGCAAAAGGGTCCACGAAATACAACGCATAATCGATATATAAGTGAACTCCATGCAAAAGGATCCAATATACAATGCTGCAATGCATAGTGATTGGATGAAAGCAGAAAAGTATTTGGTACTCCGTATTAAATAAGCAGACAAGATAGTTTGAAAACAAGTAACTCAAACGACCATATAAACATCCAAAGACTTGCACAGCAAAACTGTATGGCAATCACCCCTCCAGAAGCTCCACAAAGAGCTGCCGGTATAGTAAACAATTGCAAAAACAGCCTCTTTATACTTGAAAGTATCTCTTGACATTATCCAGTGGGCTGTGGCATTCTCAATTACAACAGATATAAGAAGACAACATACCAATGATCCAATAGCAACCAGTGCACGAAATTTTGAATCTAGATCAATACTCTCTGCTTCAGCAATCTGCAACCAGAGAATAAATCAAACTTTTACCCAGCAAATAAAAGTAGCACTTCTGCATTATTATACTTAAACAATTTGTAAGCTCAATCCATGAGCATCGCAAACACTCCTCAATTCTAAATTATCTTTTAAGTTTTCCAAACAGATTTAGTAATTGTTGGCCACTGTATACAATCAAAATTTATTAATATATTCCAACATTCTCAAACATAAAGGCAAATGATCCCATTGAACAGTTGAATCTGAGCAAGCATTATAATATTGCTATAGTTTTAATTGCATCAACACATAAGACAGAAACTTAATACAAAGGGCAGTTGAAAGGAACCAGAGGATTTTAGTATTTTACCTCAAGTGCAGCTGATAGTACTTGTAATTGCCCTTCTTCATCTCTCTTTTCAATCAACAGCACAGAAAAGCTAATACAATTACAATGGTCAGGCAACAAGATTTCATAGTATCAGTCCACAGAAAACCTCAAAAAACACTCTTCTAACATATATGTAAACACTGACTTCCAACTGTCTAAGAGCAACTACAATGGTTGGCTAATTCATATACTAGCTTGTTATGCCAAATCATCTTTTTAAGCTACAACAATTCTAGCTATTTGTTGCTCCAATGGTTAAGCTAGTTATAAATTAATTTATTTTTAAATTTAAAATATTTTTTATCTAAAAAATATCTATCAAGCTAATTAGCTCTACAAAGCTAATTTGCTTGCCAAAGCTAATCAGCAAGATGTGCAACAATGGTATAGCTATTAGTTTAAGAGTTTTAATATTTGCAAGCTCGTCCTTTTTTTCAACCATTGGAGTTGCTCTAATAGACCCAATTATCTAACACTTGCACCGCCTATAAATGGAACGGGAAGCTGAAATTAATGCTAGTAAATCCACAACATAAAACATATTAAATGAAAATGGGAACAGAAATGAACAGGATATTCTTATCCATTCAAGGATGCTTATAGTAATATCTATGTTAAAATACTTGGAGATAGCACGTCAACAAAGTGCGAACACACACACATACACACACAGGTGGAAGAATAGAAGATAAAAAAAAAAACATGAAGAGCACTTACTTGAGAATTAACGTGGAATAAGCAAATTGTACATTCTTATTAGATGTGTAACAAGCAGAAAATGCATCAAGTATCTGCAACAATAGAAAAATGTTATCTAAAAACTGTCACAGTCAAAAGAGCCCTTTAGTAAATGACAGGGACAAACCTCACTACGATGATATTGAAGCCACTGGTGGAAAGAAGTATTCTTAAATAGATTATTTAATGCACGAAGACCAGTCAAAACGTTGGCCGGGATCACTGGACTCATTGTAACTTTCTTGATCAACTCTATTAGTGCGTCTGGACAAATAAATAGATAACTGTAAGCATTCACTTACACTTTTTTTTTCACAACAAACTCACTTCCAATGGAGAGGAAGATAAAAGAAAGTTCTGAAGAGTAAAGTGTGCCAACACCAAAAAGTTACATGTTCGGCCTAGCCAAGGTAAGGGAAAAGTTGGAACAAAAAGATCAATTAACGTTTCATACATCACTGGATACATATGAACTAGGTTGCGCCTGCTGCATAAATTTTTGAACTACCGAGGAAAAAAAAAGACACAACTCAAACCATTTATATCCTTTTTCCAAAAAGCGTACAGATTAGATCAATTGATTCTGAAACCAAACAAAACTCAATATACACTACACTTCAGACTTCAGAGCATATTATCTTGCTGTGGAAAAAATAGGGTATGCACAATCCATTTCTTATAAACTTGCTGGATTTGTGCTTAAAGTCATTTCACAAATTCACAAGGATATCACTCCTTGGTGTCCTCTTGACTCATGTCAATGGTATACAATACAGGCTTATCAAAGAATAATAATAACTCCAAACAAAAGCAATAGAAGCAAGAAGTTCACCAAGCATAGCTTGGTCTAGTGGTAAGGTTTGCATCTCACAACCATGACGTTGTGGGATCAAATCCCACTAAAGGCACTTTGGGGTGGGGATTCCCTTACCCATCACCCCCCCCCACTTCCAAAGTGCCTAGCCCGCTAACACGGGCTGGGAGGACCTGTGAGAGGTTCTGGCCCGCCAGGGTCTTTCTCCTTACCAACCAAAAAAAAAAAGAAGCAAGAAGTTCTAAGTACCGTTTCCACCATTTATGAGCTTCAGCAATTTAGAAGCTCCATCAGGGTGCAAAATCATCATTCGCAGGATGTCAATAACTGCAAATAAAAGACACATGAATGAGATGAAGACAAAGCTCCCACAACATTCTCACATTTTCTAACATGTATTTCACAGATTCTGAAATAATGACAACATATCAAATACAACAACAAAACTAATGCTCATTGACTGAAAGATAATAAAGAAACACTCCAGAATATCGTTATGCAGCACAATTGCACAAATATAGTGATTAAATAAGATGAATTGAACTTTCAGCAAGCAAACCTGGAAACACCATGGATACTGGCCATGAGTTCAGTAATTTCAACAGCAGGTCAATGTCTACATCTGCAAAATTGCTACTGTGATAATGTGATGTATCTTTCAAGATCTTTACAACAGCACCAATTCTAGACATTTCCACTTCTGTAAGTGAGAGCTGCTTCTGGCCCTTCGAATTTAGTAACAGAGAAATCATTCAGCATATTTATCAAGAAGCCATATTCAAAGCATGTAAGCAAATGGAACCAAAACGAGTCACAACAATGCTAAAGGTTATCACAGATTACCAATTGACTACACATAAACATTACACCCACTATGTAAATTGAAACATAATCTTTACCATTAAAAGGTATAAAATGTCAACTACAGCAAGTTTTGAAAAGTACAAACTCATTCAAACATCAACAGATTTTAAATTAATTTCTACATTCTGTGTGTGTGTGTGTGTGTGTGTGAGTGTGAGTGTGTGTGTGTGGATGGGTGGGGGAACCATTTGGTACACGAATTAGTAGAGGGATTAGCAAAGCACATACCTGGTCAGAGAGAAGAGTATTGTTAAACTCAGACATCTTTTTCAAAATCCCGTCAAATTGGGCCACGTCAAAGATGAGGACACCTTTCTGCAAAATGGACAACCTAGAATATTAATGATCTGTTAAAGGTTCAAAGCCTAGGGGTTCAGGAACCCTCAAATTTTAAAAGCTGATTCTCAAATTATTACAAAGGCATGCATTTTTCACCAACAATAGAAACAAAAGAAGAAATCTTAAAAGGCTTGTCAATCTACATATTATTCAGCAATTTAGTAGTATAAACGCAAAGTTAGATTATGTCTAATAAATAAATAAAAAATAATAATTAAAAAAAAATAAAAAATAATTAAAAAAAAAAACCTTTTTAGATTTAAATAGCTTCATATTCAAGGATCACTAAAGGATTACTCCAGTTTATTCTGAAATTAAACTGATAAATCCCAGGAAAACAATCTATGATACAGCATACTTTCTAATCGCCAACACAAGATAAGAAAGTCATTTCCCATTGTAACTTTGTAAGGCTCTTCAAGAACAACTACAACATGAACATATCCAGATAATAGTTACACTTTAAGGACATTATAATTAACGTAAAAGTTCATGATAAAGCTTCAGTCCAGATCTTCAAACTTCTGAAAATCAAAGCAAGGCCAATAAAACAAATTATATCTACTGATTTAATGAAACATCTACACATTCTGTTCCTCAATTGTGGCATGATTAATCAATAAATGTAAGGAAAGGGTGAAATAGTCATAATTTACATTATATAACACCCTGTCCTTGGAAAAAAAAAAATATATCTTGAATTAGATTGATAAATTAAATAAATAAAATACAGAGTAATAATAATAAATGTTAAAGAGAACAGTATAAGCGTACCTTGGGTATATGCTTGAAATTGTTAAAAGTAGGTTTATTAGAAATAGCTGTTGATTAAAAGCAAGGTTTACGTCAGGGAACATAGAAACTCATTATATAGGACCTTAAGCTCAAGCACCACCTAAAACTTGTCATGTGATCAACTATAAAACAGCATATAAATATTATATAAACTGAATTTTTCAGAAGCACATACCATGGTTGGCAGAAGTACCCCCAGGTACATAGGCATTGGCTGAAATGCAACAAAATAAACATATAATGTGAATTAATATCAAGGAAAAAAAAGGATCGCGGATCAAAAGAAAAATATATTCAACTTACATCCGGTGTAAGGATCACGGAATGATGAATCAAAAGAAAATGTCTTCTGACCAGTATTCTCTAAAATGAAATCTACAACTTGCTGACGATAAGAAAGTGGAAGATTCTCCTTAAGAAGCCACTTATCAGCAGTGTCATATGGATTATCTAGAAGAAAAAAAGATCAAGGTCAATGAAATAAATTCACTGTGAAGAAGAGATTCACAGAATTGAAATGCAAAATTTGACAAAGAATCAAAACATGTTGCCTGCATATGCTTCCAACAAGATACTAACGGCACATTATCCAGCAATTACAAAGGTACCTGATCGATTATAAGGCAGCTTACGAATAGGCTCCCCATCTCCAATATCAACATCAAACACTAGACACAAACAAAATAAGGAGAAGGTGAAAACAAATGCAAAGTAGAAAACAAGCAGCATATGAAGTTGAACTACTCAATTCACCAACGTTAGTCATTGGGGACAATTAAAAAAAAAAGGACAATAAATCTTTGATAATATCCAAGCAACAGGTGACAATTGGTCCACCACTCCACATAGTTGCAAAATGCTTAGTGCCATAAGTTACTCACCGTGATCATACTCCTTTCCATCAAGTACAGGACGCTTAAGGCCTTCCCCAGGTCCATCAACAACCTCACCAATCTGAGGAAATATTCTACACGTGTTAGCAACAAGAATAATGGACAAAAAGTGATATCACAAACTCGGGCAACTATGTACTTCCTCCATTTCATATTATCGCAGCATAGAGGGAGGCACGAGATTTTAGGAGGCCATGTGATGGAAAAAAAATAGGGGGGGGGGGGGGGGCCTCGTGTGATGAGGATACAGACAGAGAGAACCTATTAGCAAATAAAGTAGTGTTTCAATCAATTTGATGCTGCACTTAAAGAAAGATGTAGCAAAATAATATATGAAGCAAAGGAAGTACAAGTTCATCAAGGGAAATGATATACCACAATAGTACTGCTGATAATATGTGATATCCAACAGACCAACAGGTTAAGTACTTACAAACCACACAGGATACTCAATAACATAATGACACTGTGTAATGAATTGGCTTTCTGGGATTATATTTTTGATTTAATAATGCAAGTAAATAAAGATTAAAGCTTGGATTTTGATTGATAATGGTTGAATGGTTACATAAGATAGGATAATAGCTTAAGGCTATCAATCTTCAAAAGTGAGTTTAGCTCAGAACTCTCCAAGGAGTGACTTGAGGTCAAAACTCTCAACAAGTTTCATCCAATTTTTGCCTAATCTCTTTCTTTCCCCTTACCTCTCTATTTATACTAAGGGCTATTAACCCTACTAAACTAATATTACTAGAATGCCCATACTACCCCTCTAGATTAGTCTATTACACACTGGCTGCAAAATCTACCCCCATCAAATACAAAGGCTAAAATGCCAAACCCTAATCATAAACCAGATTTTCACAATACATAGTTGAACAACATAGTAAGAATGATTATTCACATCGGTAAATATCAAAAGAAGCACCTGACTAGAACACCCTGAACTTCTATGACATTAGCACCTAATTAGACAGCCCACAAGACATGTACAACACTAATAGTCCAGTACCACCGACAGGCCACACAGAAGTCACAAAACCAACAGACTAATACTCTTATACTAACGACAGGAAGGATACGATTATAGTTTACAGTCTGTTCAACAACAATGCGGGATATTCCAAAAATATAAAATTCAAAAAAAATTATACATTAGTGCTTAGATATTGAGCTTTAAGATTAACTGCCAGCCTAGCATGGCTAGTAATTACCATAAACTCTTTAAATGAAAGCTGACAAGCAAATTTTGATTTTAAAAACTCACAGAGGATCCAGATGAAAACCTTAAGGCATAAAATGTTCCAAACTAGCACCCAACCCCCAAGACCCCAAAGTACATCAAATCTAAACATTCTATGACTTGGCATACGGGAAATCAGAACTCAGAGCTCATTGGTTATAACCAGACCTAATGCGGGATAAAGACAGAAAGAAGGGTGTCAAAGGACACAAAGGTTACATACTTTATCCCACTTGTACTCTTTCATATTCCAAGAATATGCTACACCATTGTCTCCTTCCCTTACAACTTTTGTTTGTCCATCACTCGTACCTGGAACATAAATGTGGTTCAGATATCAAATCAGGGAAAGAAAACTGAGGAAAAAAACTGCAAAATGGGAAAATGATGCAGATCAATTTAGAAGAAAATAATTAGGATTGCAACCAATAACTACTTTCATCGAACCTGGAACTTGTAATGAATCCAATCCAGGCAACTCCTCCAATTTCAAGCCCCCAACTCTCTTTCTGACACAAACAAAAAGCAAATAGCATTAGCCATGACTGCAAGATGATCTTTTGTAAGTCATATAAAAGATATCAACCTACCATTTCACAATAACAAACCAGTCACTACATTTTCAAATGATACCTATAAAAATGTGCTTAATGCTGTCCGTTTCATGTACACAGACCTGTTTTCAGGATTTTTACAGAATATCTCATTCATAGGAATCATATATGTAAGACAGCACTACGCAAGCTATAGCAATGTCCAGGAATTAAAAGATATTTGAATATATGGGTGCATAATTACCTACTGATCTTGTAAGCAGAAAGTTGTTCAGAATATGATTGAATCTCTATAGGGTTTGCTGCTCTATCTGCATGCGTTGTCCAAATGCGCACTACTCCGTCTGAACATGCTGTAACAATGTCCCCATTTTCCAAGAATTTGACATCCCAAACACATCCAGGGTGCTCAATTACTTGAACACATACACCGTCTGCAAAAAGAATTTTCTTCATGACCAAGAAGCATAGATATGTGTGAAATATGTTTTGAGAATGTAGAAAATGCTGGTTGAGCAGGCAAGGCATCAGCGAAGCAAATATTCTCAGTGCATTAAAAAATCAGAAATGGATCAATCCGGAATTATAATGACAAGAAGAAACATTTAGTGCAACCTCAAATCTCACCATCAAACATAAACTGATGTCCTGTTGAAACAACAACCTAACAATAGTCAATGCATTCCTACAAAAAATAATCCAAATACAATTGCTACAACAAGGATCCTTACATCAGAAGAACTAAAACAATTGATCAAGCTAGACTAGGAATTCCACCAATTGCGAGCTCAGAAATTTTGAAAACAATTTAATACATAAGGTATGAGATAAGGATGTGCTTTATACATTCCACACTGGATCTGGGTAAAAGGGAGTTCCAATGTTCCACACCAAAACTTTATCCCTCAATCGCAAATTAAGTATGTGGTACCTACGCTCCTACACTACCAGTCTACTGGCTAATTGGTCAGCACTCCAACCTCTATGAGGCTCTACCCCAATCAGAAACAAAGTACCAAAACTATGTCCAAAGAACAAGTTTGTAACCAACCACACAGAAGATGATACCAAACTAAGATCTCAAAATTGGAATGAATAAGAAAGACTTAAATCATTTCCAATCTAGTTCACTTATATGTCCAAAGTACAAGTTTGTGACCAAACACACTAATGTGAATGCTGCTTGCACATTTAAACAATAAAAATACTCCCACAGGCCACCACGCCACAAAAATGCCCATCTTTTCTTATTGTGATAATCCTATTATAATTGCTTAGTTAGTAAAAGTAACTCAAAGAGACTACTCTTATACTTGTCTTTTCAACTTCCTATACTACGAATAGTTTTTTCCACTAGAAGAATTGATATGCCTCAAGACTCAATCTAAACTACACAATTCAAGTGGGGTTATTTTGCATCAATAAGAGACAAGTCTAATGTTTATAAAGTTAATTAATAACAACTCAAGCAGGATGCATTAACTGGGATAGATGGATTAGATAAATAACAAACACATATTTGATCAACTACATTCAATATTTCCTTAAAATTTGAAAGACGACTTAAAATCTCTAAAGGCCACATAAAAGAGCAAGGGAAAGTATGAAGTGAATTACAGTGACTTGGTGAATCTACATTAATAAAGGAAGTAGTTGACAACCTTTCCATATCCTGGCTGTGTTGTCTTCACTACCACTAAGAACAAGACCTGAGACATGTGAATCAACAGAATATACAATTGATTGGTGACCAACCATCTCCAACAGAACTTGACCCGTCAGTGCCCAGAGTCGCACAGAACTGAAAAATTAAACCCACCATTAGATGAGATAAGGAATCACCCAACCAGCACATGCCTGATTGGTAGAGTTATGAAAGCAGTGGGAAAAGGAGTTAAATGCCTGTTATAGAGTAAAAGACCAAATCTGATGAACATTCATGTGTCAGTAATAAAACTTCAGGACAAAACAGAAACTTATTGTCTGTGGCAGGTGAGAGAAAATGAGCACAAGAAAGAGGAACAAGCATAGAGAGTTTCTTACCCGTCATGCGAAGCAGAAAGTACTCCTATATCAGACATCACAGCCAGACCTCTTACAGTATCTATAAAATTTATGTTAGGCATTAGAACATGAAGAATAAAGCTGAGAAGTAAAAATCTTTGTTTTCTAAAGCCCTGTTGTTCTGAGTTAAATTGAAAATAAGTCCAAAAGAACAGGGCCTAAGAATCAAGCCAGAATGTTTCTTGTAACAACTAAGCCACGAACCAGTATGTCCAACAAACGTGTGTACACATGTTTTGCCTTTCCAGAGTTTAAGGGTTGTGTCACTGGATCCTGGAATTCATAGAAAATGAAAGTTAAGAGTGTTAGACAAATGTTCATGCCATTGGCCCATTTGCATCAATATATTTAAGGAAAAATCTGTTGCTGATCAGCAAAATGACAAATGTATTCAGATATAAGCCAATAGTGAGTTGAAAACTTAGAAATCTATTCATTTAGGCAAAGGAGCACACACACACACACGATATTAATACTAATATTGGTGTAAACTTCTATTTTGGGTGTATAATCAGTAACTTTTTTATTGCGAAATTGGAATTTCATATACTAGATATACTTCATATATGTTAAAAGACTTTAAACCAAAAAGTACAATGCATTCTACAGTTTAAGGAACAGCAAGGTTGGTGTGGCAACTGCAATATGACTATTCTTTCAATCAGTAGTTATAGCTTCCCCAAAAAAAATATTATAACTCGAGCTTTTGCTTAGTGAGAAATCACATGCACTGCACATAAGTAAAAGGGAAATTACCCATCCTTTTAATACAATGAAAACACATACCTGTGGCAAGCTCGCCTGAGGGTAGCTTTACAACAGCTTGTACAGGAGCATTATGAGCCTCCCAGGACTCCACAGCCTTCCCATTTCTCCATCTTTTCAAAGTGCTAAGAAAATGTGGCAAAATAAACAACATAAATATGCAATTTGCAATGTCAAACAGTCACCAAGCATAATTCATTTATTTACTTATTTATTGGCAGGCTTCACAAATGACAAGACTGTTAAATTACTAATTACTGAGTTGAATTATAAAACCTCATTGTCTCATATTTCTCTCCTTTCAAGTGACAATATTCAATAGCTCCCAGAAAAACCGATAACTTGGTTACAAAAACAATATGACAATGGATCTCTTAAATTTCTCTAAAGGTAAACAGTCAAAACACTACCCATATGCCTATCAAACTACATCTTAGTATACACAACTGTATGACAGTGTACCTCGCTTCTTTATCAGCATGTTGTAAATCCTATCCAGATAAATAGTTCTACATTTCCATAAGTACCGATATTCATAAGCTAGTGCAAGTCATAAAACAAACCCACAACAAAGAGAAATATTGGTATATGACATATATCAATCCCTAACAAGAACTTAATCAAATATTTTCGTAACCCCAAAATAACGGGCAGCATATGATATTCGTAGTCAACCTTACAAGATTTGACTTTGATTGATTGTACATTACTACCTACAACTCTACAAGTATAATTCATACTAAAAATACAGTCTTCCTATGGAACTATATATTATTTGAAAGAGTCCACAGAGCCAGGCCTTATCATTTTGAGAAGAAACATTACTCTTCTTGTTCACTGCCCACTTAATCACTAGCTACAACAATCTAATTTCTAACTGCATTACAGGATTCTACCAATCATAATTCATAACTGCCTTCATATTCATAACAATCATCACAACATTCAAATAATAAAAGAAGCAAAGAGTGATAGATATACCAATCAACCGAAGAGGTGACAATATCGCGATCATCCAGAGCAATCCCGGTAACCTGCATTTCATGACCCCTCAAGACATGGACCCTCTCTCCACTCTTCAAGTCCCACACCATCCCCAAAGTATCCATCCCACCGGAAACAATCCCACCTCCCGGAAACTCATCATTCGGCGAAATCCAAGCAAGTGGACCTACAAAACTAGTGTGTCCCACCATAACCTTCGGCGATTCAAGCACTCGATTGGTTGCCGGATCAAGCGGCCAAAACCTCACCGTTTTATCCCTAGAAGACGTCGCAATTCCAACATTCTCACAAACGCAAATTCTCCTAACCTAGAATTTCATGCATCGCAATCAAATTAAAATCCCGCAATAATTAGGGTTTTGTGTTCGATCAATTCAATTCCAATTCATCATGAAATATGAAAAAATTATCAAAAATATATAAAAACAATCGTAATTGAAAGGAGAATAGGATGAACTTACGTCGTCTTCGTGTCCTCGAAGTTCAATGCTGAGATTGTAATCCATCTCCATGAAAATTGAGCTTTTTTTGACTGGAAATTGAACTGATACTAGTAGACTGAATTGAAAGAGGTTTTAAAGCTTGATTATTTTTGGAAATGATGAGTTAATTTATGTGGGAAGTTGTTAGGAGACTTGAGGAGGGAGAAAAGAAGAAAATATTTTGAGATATGAATATGGGCCTATGTGTATCAAAGTGATGTACATATTGGTTTTAAGAGAGATCCTAGCCCATTAAAGTTATCCGATACAATGATCATCGGTAGGGTTGTCAAAAACTGACACAAACTAAATAGCCGGTCGAAATCGAATGAATCATGACTTCATATTTGAGGAATTTGGTTCTCGAATCCTTAACCAACCCAAAGATATTTTGAGACCCAATATGAATTCAGTATTTGTGAAATAGATGAAACTCACATCCAATCGCAAACAACTCGAAATCCAATTTGACCCACGAACAAATGTGACTGACTCGACTACAGCTTTTCCAAGATTTGATTCGACCCAACTTGATATTACTCAAGATTCAATTCAACTTGGTTTGATAAGACCTGATTCGATTCAACCTACATTGTTCTATACCCGACCCTAAACTTGAATTCATCAATTAAATATCCAAGTTTAACTTGAGAACCCAACACAATTTATCTCAAATTCAATTTAATTCAACCTAATAAACCTAACGGAACTTATCAATTAACCTATACTAAAAGCGAACCTAAAGTGACACTTGTCACGATGTTATAAAACATTTCCCGCCTTTTTATCTTTCCTTTTTTTTTTTGCCAAATTTTAATGACTTCCATTTTGTAACCTACCATAATACTTATTTCCATTTTGACAACACATTTAATCCAATCATACTCAATTTAACTTTTTTTTTTTTCAACATATATTTTATATGCTATAAATCTTTTAGTTACAAATATACTAACATAGTTTAAAATTAAGGTATTGACATATATCATCATCCAAGATTATCATAATACTATTATAATTTTTTTTCCTCCGACTTAAAATTTATTTTAATAAAAAATAGGAATAATAATTTTGGTGGAATACTTTGTATAAATCTTACAAATCTACATAACGTTTATAAGAACGACTGAACAAAATCATTTTATTATATTATGCTCCTCCGTTTTTTTTATAAGTTACTAGGTTAAATCCCGTGCCATGCACGGTCATAATTAAACTTTACAACAAAATTTATAAAGAATGGTGTTAATTCAACAAATTTATCCAAAAAAAAATATTTGTAACAAAATAATAGTCTCTAATTAAAGATATTGATGTTCAAAGTTGTGTCTCAACAAATGTGCAAACCCAACCATAACTTATAAAAAAACGGAGGAGTATAATATAATAAAATAATTTTGTTTTATACACGTTATGTATATTTGTAAGATTTATTCAAATTATCCTACCAAAATTATTATTCCTATTTTTAATTAAAGTAAATTTTAAGTCGGAAGAAAAAATATTATAATAATATGGACTTTTTATGAAAAACTACCTTATATACATATTTTTTTGTGAAAAACTACCTTATAAAAAAAATGTTGTAAGAAACTACCTTATAAAAGCTAAATATTGTAAGTTGCTACCATGTACATAATTTAACAATGAAAGAGAAGGGGAATTAGGGGTTATAAGGAAGCTATGAAGAAATTAGGTGGAAAAGGAGAAAAATTGATTCAAAATAAGTCATTAAATGACTCTTATTTAATGCAATCATTCGACAAAAAGGTAGCTTTTTACAAATGAATTGTTTTATAAGGTAGTTTCTTACAACATCTATTGTTTAAAAGGTAGTTTCTTACAACATTTTTTAAATAAGGTAGTTTTTCACAAAATATAATTTGTATAAGGTAGTTTTTCACAAAAAGTCCTAATAATATTATGATAATCTTGGATGATAATATATGTCAATACCTTAATTTTAAACTGTATTAGTATAATTTGTAACTAAAAGATTTATATAGTATATAAAATATATGTTGAAAAAAAAATTGAGTATGATTGGATTAAATGTGTTGTCAAAATGAAAAGAAGTATTATGGTAGGTTATAAAATGGAAGTCATTAAAATTTGACAAAAAAAAAAAGGAAAGAAAAGAAGGCGGAAATTTTTTTTTATAACATTGTGACAAGTGTCACTTTAGGTTCACTTTTAGTATAGGTTAATTAATGGTTGAATTTGCACATTTGTTGAGACACAACTTTGACCACAATATTTTTAATTAGAGACTATTATTTTGTTACAAATATTTTTTTTGGATAAATTTGTTGAATTAACACCATTCTTTATAAATTTTGTTGTAAAGTTTAATTATGACCGTGCATGGCACATGATTTAACCTAGTAATTTCCTTAATAATAAAAAAAAAAGATGTTATTCAAACCTTTTTTTGGCAAGAGTTATGTGTTTCCTTTTGTAGATGTGGACCTCTATCATTGTCAAAATTATTAAAATTGAAGTTCTTTTGAGAATTTACAATTGGTAGGTTAGTTGATGAATCTCAATTGAGTGGTTGCTTGGATTTTACTTGTAGTGGAATGTCTTTATTTTGTGTTCTATAAAGTATTTAATTTTAATTATTTGTTTTTCTATTTTTTGCTAATTTTTAGCATGCATTTCTTTTTGGAACCCAAACTATTCAATTTGACAATACACTCTAACAAATCATTGCATCACCTAGGCCACAACTAGTTTGGTTATGATTATACTCCTATGATCTTACATTAACGTTCTATTTGTGTTTTTCTCCTTTATTTTCTTATCAAATCAATCCCAATACCAAAATTCAAAATTTTACTCGTATATTGTATTATTTACAATTTCACACATATTCTATACCATTGCATTTTGTGATTTAAAGATAAAGTTTGTTATTTCATTTCAATATTACGGCTTTTACACCTTCACAAAAAAAATTAAAAAATAAAAATTACGAGTATTATTAAAATTGTGCATTGACTAGCTTGAAATCCCGCACACCACGAAAACAATAAATAAATAATTCCACACTCTATCTAGAGTATTGAGCTTCCATCAGTTTCCCGCACTCTCATTTCTTGTACAGAATGATGTCTCCTCCATCACATTCTGTTGATGGGCAGCCATAGTTTTTTTGTCCTTATTTCCCAAGCCCACCATTTTCCTCTTCCATATAATTATTTTTTCTCAATTTTTATAGAACTAATTTATCAATTTCCCTAAATATACGGTAATCAACTTTACTTTTATCACAGTATTTTCCACATTTTATGTCCACATCTTTTTTTATTTTCCCCTTTTTTTTCCAGCCCACTCACTCTTCCTGCCTCAGAAACTCACCATTTTGAAGCAATCGCAGGTTAAATTCATGGTCTTTTTTGGTAATTTGGGTTTTTTTTGTTATCCAATTTTCATGGGTTTTATGTAATTTTTGTTTTTATTGGATTTTATACTATTTTCTCTGTTTTTATGTGTTTATTTGTCAATAATTTGGTGAATTCTGAAATTTGTTGGTGACATCGGAACAACCCAGATTAGGAAAATGTTATTATGTGTTAAGGAAACTGCTAATTTTAGAGTTAAAAAGTAAATTTTTTTATCACATTGCTAAATCTTTGCTAAATTTACAAGTATATTTATTTGGGTCAAAATGTATTATGTTGATCTTGATATAATAAAAGGAATTGGGTCATAGTATCATGCAGTGTTGAATTTGTAAGCGAATGCCACTTCTTTAGAGGGTAATTAACCATTCTTACTGGTGATTTTGAAGAATGTGATCATTTTTACTGTATAGTGTAAGAATTGGTAATTACCCTTAAACCAACCATTTTTAGAGTGTTGGTATTATAAGCAAATGCCTGTTACTCTGAGGAGGATTCAATGTTTGTTTCGATAATCGATATACAATATTAGTATCATAGAGGATACGAACACGAAAGGCTGATGAAACTATGAAAGCCATTAAGAATGTTCATTGATGATTTGAATTCATTTTAATTAGTTTGACATTGTATAGTTTAAGGTTTTAGTAATGATGATTTGAATTCATTTTAATTAGTTTGGCATTGTACAGCTTAAGGTTTTAAGAATAATTTTTCTAGTTTATATAGCAGAAGCTTGGATTTGAAGCCAATGTTGTGTATGAATCATGTTTGGAGCCAATGTAGGTTTGTCTTCGGCCTATATATAATAGTATGAGTTCTTATAACAATTTTTCTTTAAGAACATAATTCATAGCATTTGATGCTGTAGTACTATATACCATGTGTAATCGACTTGGCTTAAGGCTATTTCTCATTGAATTTTAAAAAATACAGTCCTTAATCCTTTGTATTATCTGTTTTTCATGCTCTTACTCATTCTTTTGCTACTTTGTATTTTTATTTTTGGTCTTGCTTTGCCTTATTGCTACCTTTTTTCTGAGAGGAGCAACTTAATTCAATTTCTGGTAATACTGAACGGAACTTATATAGCTATGTATCCAGTTGACCATTTGTTGATTTATTCCAGGAAATTATTCATCGTTGCCAATCTACTTGTGAATTGTGATAGCTTCTTCTGTTTCTTGAACCACTCTTCACTTCAAAGGCATTCCTCTAAATTGGGAAAATAAATTGATCTACTCTTGAAATGAACCAAAGAAGATAGTATTTACCACGTTCATTTGAAAGCTTGAGTAAAAATATTTCATCTGCTCCTTGGTACAGTCCCATCTCCCATGGTTGTTACTTTTGTTCGACAGACTTGATTGATCCTTGGATATCAGGTTAGATATAGCAGTTTCACTTTCTTCCCTTTCTTCCACTATCTGCAAGACACCATATTGAGAAATTCTTGTGGGTAATTGTGAGAAAATGGAACTAAGAAAACCTCTTGATTTGGATAAAAATGAGAAGCTCCGCGCATTAACACCATTCAGGTTTTTAAGGGGTGTGATATGTTTACTGGTGCTAATCTCAACTGCCTTCATGATGCTGGTGTATATTGGCTTTGTGACAGCAGTTATAGTACGGTTATTTAGTGTACGCTACAGCAGGAAATTGACTTCTGTAGTGTTTGCTTCCTGGCTTGCTTTATGGCCTTTCTTGTTTGAAAAGATAAATAAGACTAAAGTAGTCTTCTCTGGAGTGACTGTTCCTGACAAGGAGCGTATTTTGTTACTTGCCAACCACAGAACTGAGGTTGACTGGATGTACATATGGGATCTGGCATTGAGAAAGGGTAGCCTAGGCTACATCAAGTATGTTCTTAAGAGCAGCTTAATGAATCTACCTGTATTTGGATGGGCATTTCAGATATTGGAATTCATTCCTGTGCATAGAAAGTGGGAAATTGATGAACCAATCATGCATAAGATGCTTTCAACTCTGAAGGATCCCCAAGATCCCCTTTGGCTTGCTATTTTTCCGGAAGGCACAGATTTCACGTACGTAATGCCTTCTGTGATGATTATATATTTCAAATTGCTTAATCCAATCTGGACAAGTTTTCTATTCTTTGTAGTTTGGAATAAATTAGTTGCTTCTTCCTACCTATGATGATAAGATGATTGCGTATTTGGTGTACCCTTGTACACAGTAGCTGATGAAGTTTCTGCATCAAATAGTCTTTTCTGAAAGATTGTTATAGATGAATGCAAGAAAATGCTAGAATTTTTTAGTCCTTAGATATTGCCCTTTGTAGGGCTCAACTGATTGAGGCCTGATACCTAATGACTGAACTTCACAATGTTTTTGATTAATAATGCCTTGCCCAGGATTTAACCTCTGGGTGGGTGGGGCAAGAAGAAGCAGGATTTCAGTTGACATAAGTTATTTTTAGTAACATAATTAGCTCTGTTAAGTGAATATTGCTGAAGGGTCTTGCAGAATTTAGGAATTTTAAGATTCTCTATGACACTTTGAATGATTATTATCTAATAATTTACCAAGTTTATCCATGATGTGTTCTGATGCAGTGAACAGAAGAGCATTCGAAGTCAAAAGTATGCAGCTGATCATGGGTTGCCTATTCTTACAAATGTTCTGCTTCCAAAAACGAAGGGATTCTTTGCCTGCATGGAAGAATTGAGGAACTCTCTTGATGCAGGTTTGCACTGTTTTGCACTTTCTAATTTTCTATGGATTTTAACGTTATTGCTTCTTTACAACTTTACCTGAGAATCCATTTGTATTGCAGTCTATGATGTTACTATCGGGTACAAGCCTCGGTGCCCTTTCTTCTTGGACAATGTTTTCGGAATAAATCCATCTGAAGTTCATATCCACATTCGACGTCTCTCTATCAGCAACATTCCTGATTCTGAGGAGGAGCTGGGCATTTGGTTGATGGACACATTCTGTCTCAAGGACAAGCTGCTTTCCGAATTTTACTCCAAAGGCCATTTCCCTAATGAAGGAACAGAAAAAGAACTCTGCATGACGAAATCCCTGGTGAATGTTGTTGCTGCCTTGACTTTAACAAGCATCTGTACATTTCTCACTTTTTCCTCTTTCGTCTGGTTTAAGATTTACGTACTTCTAGTATGCCTTTATTTAGCATTTGCTACAAAGTTTAACTACCGGCCTTCACCTATATTTTGCTTTCCAACCCGATGGCTTAAGCAGAATAATGTCAGGCAGGCACTTGATTAGTGCCTTAGTAACATCTTTATGCCAATTATTGTGACTTTCATGATATTTAACATTGTAATTACATTTTTTCCTCGGTATATCATTTGGAACAGACCTTTGTCAATCTATCTGCTCATTACTTTAAGGCAATTCTTGCATCTTGCTTATTTACATTCTAAGTATGTGATCGTTTTTATTATATTTGTCACACTCCTGTGTTTGGCTAGTTTTCTCATTTTAGATAAAATAGCTCTTGCTTAATTTTTCTTGAGATGTTAGTTTAACAATTTGTTCCTGGCTTACTGCTGCTGCTATATCAAAAAAATGTCGGCTTGGAGATGTTGCTAAAATGACACCTTGGATTTGATGAATTCGAAATTAGAAAAATAGCTAAACCCTGTAGGTTCATATAGTGTTTATTTGATAATGGTTTGTTGACATTGCAACTAGTAGCTTCTAGTAATCGTTTCTGACGACTCCGTGACATCATTTGCTTCTACTTGCAGCATAATTTGACATTGCCTCAGCCTGAACACATAGTTTGTCCTTTAAGATAACTTCTACTACTTAGCCACAATAGACACAGATCAAGAACCATAATAAAATATACTTTATATAACTATTTATTAATCTAGAGTCCTCTAGTTGCAGTTATGTTTGCCTATGTCATTCTTAACTCGGCCTGTTTTAGAAATGAGATTTAGTTGATAATACCCTACTAATGATATTTTTATGCTTTCATTTTGATTAATCTCTGTTTTGTTTGTTAATCTTGTAGACTGTTATCCGTCTCAAATACCAGTTTCAGATTGTAGGATACTCAAATACATACGAAAACTAGTGGGGGATAAAATCGGCTAGGTTATGATAACCCTATCCCAAAGATAGACAGTACAAAACCACAAAATCATCAATTCTTAAGATTTTTTTCTTTGAAAAATGATCTCATATATAGCCAGAAAAAGCCTCAAAATGCTCTTATGTAATACGTATGTGAAAAATATAAGAAAAAGACGACAAGATTGGATTAGTTTCATCCTTCACTTCAAAAACTCTAGGACACAAAATCATATCAGACTCTTCACAACTACTCCTGATATACTTTTGTTTATTAAAGCCTCCATAATTTGTAGCTAGTTTGAATTTGAACTAAAGCCCTTTAGATCAATTCTTCCTTAGTTTTTTTTTTTTAATACTTCCTTAGTTTTTTTTAATTATTGCAACAATTGGATTTTTAGATTTTACCATATTTTCTCTGATGCAATTTGATTTATCTTTGAAACAGCTTCACCCTTCCCTAAGACCCTAAAAATAATAATAATAATTAAAAAAAAAAAAATCAACATCATTTTTTTTTTAGAAAGGTAGGATGGTGTAGGAAGCACATGGTTAGGCAACCGTTCTCAAGAAAGCAACTCTTAACCTATTATATCTCTCAAAGCTGATTTGCCCCGCAACATGTTTATTGTTTAACTCTTCACGTAATAAAGCTTCTAAAATGACTAATAATTAGTCTCTTGCTTGACAAAAATATGTTTACTATATTATGCCACATTATTTTCTATGATATTCAAAGTAACAATTGTAAACTTGACTAGATGCGTCAAACAAGAATATGTGTCTAAGTGTTTGATAGTCATTTATGAGACTTTTGTGTTTTTGTAAGCCTAAATGCAATATATTTGTGTTATAATACCAATGAAGATTTTAGGTAACATGTGTTGTAAGCCTATAATACGGAGTATTATTTACTTGATTAAAGTCCTGGGGTTGGAACCAAAAATTATTGGGATCAAACCTTGTGTGCATAATGCTATTATGAGTTTATGACTCCCCCTATACTTAAACCATTATTGTCAATGATGACTTGAAGTCTTGGACCATGTTCTACTTCATGGAATTTAGATTGGCCTTTATGACTATTTCTTGGGTCAAAAGAAGGTATTTTTTTTTAATTATCTTTTCAGTGGTCCATAAAGCAGGACTACTGCAGGAGTCCTTAGATCCTTTCTTTTGATCTTTGAATATTGGCCGGTTCCTTTATAATACTATATGATATTTTAGCCAGCTAATTGTAGTCCTTAGTAAATATGTCTACTAATTGTTTGACTCAGAAACTGTGCTGCGTTTACCAGTGTCCAATACTCCAATATGTTGGTAGGATAATGTAATTTTATGAAAATCATTAGATCTTGTTTAGATCATAATTATATGGCTAACCCTATGTCACTAAATAATGATTTGCAATGGATTTTTTCGTTATGCTAATCTTATGTCAATATCAGAAATCATTTCACTACATTGTTGTCCTACTCTCATTTGGACATGTTGTACGGGGAATGTCATGATTATTTTATAGTTATACATACGTATATGGATACTAGCTAGGTTTGTCAATAATGACTCAGAAGGTAATCTCAAGAATTTTGTTGCTTTTGCGATTAATTCTTATCTACATCATTGTCTTTTATGACTCTCAAAAAAAAAAAAAAAAAAAAAAAAAAAAAACTGATCCATCTAGTATTTTGTGTCAACATCGACAAATCATTGGCCTAGTTTCATCTGGACCATGTCTAAGAGGGATGTGGGTAGTAAGGCTAGACGGCTAGTAAGTTAACAAATTATAGTAGATAAGAGGAGCTATCAGAAAACTATACAGAAAACAAACATGAAATGGATCAGACAAAGCAAACAAGAAAATTTGAACTACTACAGATTATGACATAATTTTATTTGATGAATATTATGTTCAAATAAGAAATCCAAATCCTGTGATTTGTAACATCTAATGAAATGAATTCAATTGCAAGAATTACAGATACAGAATAATGTATTTCAAATTCAAAGTGTCTAAAAACAACAACATAACAATGAGAGAAATTTTGAAGTCAGTCAATCTTTCTTTTTTCAGCTGTTAGGATGTTTGATGATCCTCTGCAGGACAACAGTCCTAGCTCTTCTGATATCCCTACTACAGACATCAGCTTGCACACCTAAATCTTCGACGTTCTTTGTAAATACAACCATCTTCTTCTTGATCTCTTCAATCCCAAGCTTAACAGCGTCTTCAGAAATTGCGAAATCAGCAGTTTTTAACAGGGACTCGAGCTCGATTTCTAGTCGGTCTATCAACACCCTAATGTTATCCAAGTCCTTTATAGCAATATATGTCCCTACCTGCATACTGCTAATGACCTCCTTTTGCCCTTTTAGTGCAGTTTCATAGTTCTTCCATAGGGAATCAATCCACTTCCCTACAGATCCCACAGGGATCGCCGTTGCAGCAGCTAGAGCCGCTGCAACTGGTGGAACCAAGGTGGCTGCTGCCACCACAGAGCAGATCAGAACTGCGGCGAAAGTGGTCACAAATATGATGTTAGAAACCTTCTTCCAAGCATGAACAGATTTCAACTTTTTATCCAGCTTATTTTTCCTAAGTTGCAACTTCTCAAGCATTGAGAGTTGCTGTTTATAAACAGACTGAAATATCTGGAAAAAATCCTCAGTAAAAGGATCACCAGCAGCCTTAAAATTCTTCAACTCCTCCAAAGTTTTCGAGTACCTCGTTTCCCCTGCACCGCCTTCATCCTCAAACTGTTGCATAGCCACCATTATAAGCAACTGACTATCTTTAACCCTTTTAAGGCATTTCTCCAATGCAGCACAGAAATCAAGGGTTTGCAAACTATTCTCAAAGTATTCTTCAACAAGCTCAAATAATTCTGGTGTTTTCCATATATCTTGCTTGCACTCTAAGATAACCTTCACAACTTCTTGGTTCATCTCCAATAAGCATTCAGTGACTTCCTTCATCGAAGTGAACGAAAGCGAGCGGACTTCAACACCTACTGCTAATGAGTTGATCACATGATTAGTTCTAGCATGAAGGTTTGTGTCAAAGGACTGCAAATCTCTGTCAGTTTTACAGGCTGCTTCATAAGATGTTAGCTCTGTTGTGTACTGCAGGTTGTTGATTTCTGCTGTCGTTTCGGCCGCTTTCTTGCTCATATGTCCTCCCATTATTTCAGATTTCAAGTCCCAAATTTACACTGCAATCAAAACCCGAATATCAAAACCCAAATTATAGCAATATCTTCTCTTTAATTTGGCTACAAACATTCAGAATCCTATTCCCTACCTATTCATAAACCATAAAAATTCAACGAAACGGAGCAGAACCCAGAAATGTAGTGTGTTTTTTTTTAATGATTTATATGAAAAATTTGAGAAAAAAAATCCAAACCCAGTTCAGATTCTAAACTGAAGAACAAAACCCAGATGGAAAAATTTATGAATTTCAGAAAATTTAAGATTTTTGTTCGACTTATAAACAGCTGAAATGAAGAAGAAAGAGACAAATAAACCAGATTTTTGTTAAGATTTTTATCAAGAGAGTTTTGAAAGTGGATGGTTAGGTTTAAGAGAAAGCAAAACGACAGAAAATTGAAGAGAGAGAAATAAAGAAGATTGAAGATGCTTGGAGAGAATTGAAACCGTTAATGACCAAGAAATGAAGAGAGATATTAGAGAATGGCTTGCACGCATGAGGAACAAGAAAGAGGGTTAGGAAATGTGGTTACTAAGTATAATAACAGAGATGGAAAACGCGGGAAGCAATGTCTTCTCTTCCTTTTTCTCTCTCTTTCCTTGTTTTTTAACGCGCATATCATACAAGGATGAAAATCGTATACATCATCGCCCTAAAACAATCTTATGCTATAAGACGGAAAATGTTATTTATCCCCGTGTCTCAATAAGGTGAAGTAATAAGTCTCGTGTTTCTTACCCCGTTTCATATAAGTTAAAATGTATTGTGGCTACTTACTACTCCGTTAATAGCATACAACAGATGTAGACATATTTTCATTGATTAAAAAATAGCAGCCAATATCTTACAAGCATGATTTTCTTTTGGTATTCTTCAAATATACTCACTAGTAAAGTAGTGACATAGCTAATTAAATTGAGCAATTTCTTAGTAGGAAGGCAAAAGTAACTTTTGTACAAACGGAGTGCTACGCAATTTCGCAGTAACAAACAGATAATTTCCTAGCATTGACACAACTATGACGATATTACTAAAAGCTACGTATTTTGTGCTACAAAGTTGCTCGACAATTATGCAATAATGAGCAACTTGCTCGACAAAGTTGCCATACATGACAAAACAATCATGGTGAACTTAACGCTTGCTCTTATATATTTTTAAGAAACACTATTCAGTTCCAAAAATGATACTCCTACTATGTACAAATTTAAGCATATATGATTGATCAATTACATGTATGTCTATATCAATCGATATGTAATTTTGCCAATTATGAAATAGATTAATTCTGTAATTAGTTTTACATTTTTAAAGTACTTATATAAAAATAAAAATATAAAATAAAATTATTGCATGCGTATAATAAGTCACAAGTTCAAATGTTCAATTCCACCACCTTCGTTTATATGATCGATTGTATTGCTCTGATCCTATGACTCGATCGAGCTAGAAGAAAAAAAAAATAGTTTATTATAATGCATCTAGCTATTACTCTAGTTTTCAACCAACTTCGTCACGTGAATCCAACATGATGAATTTATGACCTTCAGAACTCAGAACTTGTATTATGGGACCATAAATCTTGTATCTTCGTTAAGAAGAATTGAGCAACTGGCAAGACATAATTTAATTCACCAAAACATGTATGATTTATTTTCCTTTGTTTTTTCATTTCAAATAATGTTTTTTATAAACATGGTATAGATTGATTGGATGAATGGAGATTCATCTTTTTTACCATCGCGTTCTAAGTTCTAACTAATCTAACTAATTAATTAAGCTTGTAGTAAAAGGAAAATAAATGCATGCATTTATTTTCTAACTCTAGGCAATGCATGTATGTCACAATTCAAGTATATACACGAGTATACAAAATATTGATAGTTGTAAACTTGTAATAGTTCTTTATTTCCTATTCTCACTCTAGACGCGTTAGAAATTTTCCTTGTACCAGTAATTTGTTTTTATAACATATACACATACAATACTACACAGTTTCAATAAAATCATGCATGTAGGTGCAATCAATAATGAGATTTTATTTTATAAATAAAAGTTAAAACAATAATAAATCTTAAGTGAAATGAAAATGAGCTAACCTGGCCTGCTTTTGGAGTATTATTTTTGCTCGAGTAGATATATATTTATCCTGCATGAAACAAGAGAAAACAATACAGTAATTCGAAAAAAATAAAGTGCTTTGAATAATGTTAGATAGCTTTAAGTTGTGAAGTCACGCATACAGCTTTGTTTGTTGTACTTATATAGTTTTTCAAACAGAAACATATACTTGGGAAGCAAGTCAAAATTTTATCTTTTTAATTATACCTTTATTCGTTATTCCTCTTTTTTGAAGGGGGGAGATTATATTTATTAATAAGAAGCCATACGGCACTTACATAAGAGATCATAATCGAACAATACAAAGACAACCGAACCAATTACAAGTTCGAAATAAACGAAACTACAATTGCACGCGCAGAATGACTTTCTTAAGTACCCTTGGCTCATATAACGATGTCCTATGCAGCCTCTTGCAAGGGGGTCTGGCAATATGATGTAATTTCTGACGAGAACCTTCATTGGCTCAGAATCCCGTACTCCTCGACCTGAAATCAAAATTGGTGTCGTACACTTCACCATAGACAAGATCAACTCCGATTCAAACACGGATATCGGCATGGAAGCAAAACCCTTTAGCCCAAACCAACAGAAGATCAAACCGAAGCCCCATAGCCAAAAAAACCCGGCTTAAATCCTGCACCAGAAGATCGGTACACCGATCTGCAAGCCCCATATCACTCCAACACACCACACAAACAGAAAAAATAATAAAACTAAAAAGCACACAACGACTTCTAAAAGGAAAAACAGAACGAAAACTAAAACCTAAAACAAAAAACGAAACCCTAACATCCCACCCCGCCGCCAAACCGAGTCCCACCACCCACGCTTTGGGATTCACCGACCCAGCCCACGAACCGTCGGAAATAAACGCACGGACCACCGAGGCCCGCCTGAGAAGCCCGAACCCCACACGCCCCTGAGCCGCTGCAACGACAACCCTACACGAGGGACTTAGAACGGCCCTACACGAGGGACTCAGAGGGAGGAAACTCCCCCTCCCCGTTCTCGTAAACCACGTCGCGGCAACGGACAAAGGGGTGGGGCGTAGGCGCGGCGGGGAGGCGATACAAAGAAGCGACGACAGGCCAGCCTCACAGTCGGAGAAGAACAACGGCGGCGGTTGAAGAGGCGGTGCGGTGCAAGATGAAAGGCTGAAAAAACGAAAAACCATAACGGAAAAAGAAATAAACAAGCTAAAGGGGTAGATTAGAGGCTCGCCACGCTGTGGCGTGGGCGGTGAGCCACACGCTCGCCGGCGAGCCTCATAGCCGGAGAAGAAGAAGAGGAGCGGCGGTTTATGGGAGAGAGAGAGGATTTTTAGAGAGAGAAAAAGCACCCTTTTAACGGCGATTAATAGTTTTATTCGTTATTCCTCTTTTTAAGCCATTTTTAACTAGAAAAATGGTGCTACAACTGCTATTACTATTAGTGTGCTTAGTAAGATTTATTGTTAGTTCTAGATAACATATTCACCATTTTTTTTCTTTATTTTTTATTTGGGTAATTGATACATAGTTGTTGTAGAGTATTCATCAAATAAACATAGCTAATTAATTCACAATTGTACAGTATTCATTTTCATTTATTTATTTATTTTTATTTTAATGTTGGGATAACATGGATAATATTCTAATAACTAGGGATGTCAGTGGGGCGGGTCAAGTAGGAGACCCGCCCCATCCCCGCCCCATATTGGGCCGGGGATGGGTCTCGGTTTGGCGGGTGGTGGGGCGGGGATGGGGATAAAAACCATACCCGCCATGGGTGATGGGGCGGGGGTGGATTTTAAGTTGTACCCACCCCATCCCCGCCCCGCCCCACTTCGTACCCGCACCATCCCCACCTCATACCCACATCTATATATCTTTTAAAGCAAAATTACATACTTTTATTCTATTTATAAAATAATTACACGAAATACAATATTAATTATAATACTTTGTACGATACTTATATTATAACACAAAAATGTGTATAGAATGTTTATTTTATAATTCGTATTAATTATGTACGATTGTGTATTTGAGATAAGGATATTAGGTGGATCTTGGGTGGGGATTAGGCGGGTCTTTGGTGGGGATTAGGCGGGTCTTTGGTGGGGATTAGGTGGGGATGGATATCCAAGTGGGGGGTGGGGCGGGGATGGTTTTGGAGTTGTACCCGGTGGGCGGGGATGGGGATAAAAATTGGACCCGCCGTGGGGATGGGGATGGGGATGGGGATGGGGATGAAAATATTAGGTGGGGATGGGGATGGGAAGGCCAACATCCGCCCCGCCCCGCCCCATTGACATCCCTACTAATAAGTAATAACATATCACAATTGCATCTTAAAGTCAAAATATGGACCCTAAAAAAAGAGGAAATTTAAAGCCTTCTTAATAACTAAGGGAAGAAAATGGAAGAAAAACTCAAAATATAGTTGTTGTCCATAAAAAGAAAGCTGTTGTATGTAAAAATGTAGGAAGTAATACGGAGTATGTAAGTTTGTAGTTGTAAACAAACAACGTAGATCACATGCTGTGGCCTACCTTTTATTTCGGCCTCAATTTTCACCGGCCTATACCATACCAGATTACCAAATTTATGCTCTCTATATTTTATTTTTATTTTTAATTTTTATTATTTATTTAGTATTTTAATTTTGCAAGTAAAGAAAGGATGCTAACTGTCAAAATTTAATTGGTTATTACTTGAGGGATGTTTCTAGTTTAATTCCACTTGTTATGATGTTTAAATGCACGTGCTTAATAGAATTCTCACATTTGGATTTTGTTGGAGATGTGAGACCTAAACATAGCTTTATTATTAAAATTGGATTAGATCTCGTGCGATGCACGGATATAATGAAAAAAAAAGAGCTATATAAAACAATACTCCATTAAAAAAACATAAATTAATATTTCATTGGGTAAATAGTTGTTAAAAGGTTTATTAAAAAAAATTGTGAAACCGTTTAAAAAAAAGTTGTGAAGAGTAGTTATTTGTATAGTATTCTGTATTAAATTATTTTGTGTCAATAATTAGTTTTTTCCATATAAAAATGTAAAAGAGAAAAAAGAAAAAAAAAAAGTTTCGGTGGAAAAAAATTATATGAGAAGCTGACACATATATAATGTGGATAAATGAATGATGTCAGCGGTTGCTACTTTAGTATTAGTTATAGTCTTATAGATTATTATTATTATTATTATTATTATTATTATTATTATTAGCAATTTAGCATTTAACTCTTGTTTTGATTTTCCATATTATTAGCTCGAACACAATACAAGTTTATTCATGACTAAGGACCTGTTCACATTTACTGAACTAAACTGAGCTGAAATTAATATTTTATGAGAGAAGGAAATTATGTGCTGAACTGAACTTATTGGAGCTGAATTGAAGTGAAGTGAAATTAAGATGAAGTGAACAGGCCTTAAGAGGACATTTGATACAAATATTGAAATCGGAATTCAGAATGAAAAGAAAATATCAAACTCTTACATTTTTATTTGTTCGATTTAACCATGAAAATAAAACAGTAAAATTTAAATATTTTTCATGAACTTTGGTATTTCATTACACATTATT